TATTATTATGTGTATAAAAGTAAATTTCGTCCCTCCCCCAATTCTTAAAACTAGTCCAAAACGTCTTTCTCAAGTTATCTCAAATGTGGCTCCATCCAGAGTGGAGACCACGGATGTGCGTTCTATAGGTTTGTTTTTGATGTAAGGAAGGGGGGGGGGTAAGTTTATTTTTGTCGTGAAAAGATCAGTATAACCGAAGATTTATTTTAGCGTGGATTTCTGACATAGCGGGGACATGGGAGGAGGGGGTGGGTGGGCGCAGGGCTTAGAACGTAACCTGGAAATAATCTAAAAAGAAGTAAATTCAAGGATGTCTTGTAGAGAATCAAACATCGGTTGACCGAACCGTAGACCAACATGAGACTTATGGAGTGCACCCTCAAAAACAAACGAACAAAACAAAAACACCAAACAAACAAAAAATGAAACCGGCCATAAGATAGGACCGTAGCATTTATATCTGTTTTCTATTATATGATATCCTGTAATAGACTGCAGCAGGTTTATAAACCCCACCTTTCAGACAATTACAATAAGTTTGATCAAGTTCGCTTTCGAATGAGGTAAGAATGTTTGATCAGCGCAGAAATAATCCGAATCTAATATCTTTTGATCCAGAGTCCGGCAATCCAACCTGTCAGTACTGATTAATGACAAATCATCCTATGGTAAATGCTTAACGCCCCCCACCCCCTCCACTCTGAGTTTTTTTTTTAAAGTCTGGACTTCTAATTTAACCATTAACGCGCACATTTCGGCACCCCTCCCCTCTTAAAATTGAGTCAAAATGTCATTCGCACATTTGGCGTTACGGCGACAAATAAAATGTGGCCTCACAGAGAGTGGCGACCCCGCAATGCATGTAGTAGATCAAGTAAGTTCCAAATGGAGGTCTCAAGTTTATTTTTTTTTACCGATTTTACCATCGTTTCCGCTTGTACTGAGCTAAATGTATGGAGAGTCGAGCCATGAGAACTCTAAGCAATCTACGTTCAAGTATAAGTAACGTATCCGAACCAGGCTTATTTGTGTTGTAGTCGGATGACAAAAATTATTGTCTTATTGTTGTTTTATTGTTAACTTCTCAAGGCTTTAGGGTTGCATATAAAAGAACCAGCCTCAACTGAACACACTTTTGAAAACACTCTTGAGCAAACTTCACTGATTCCGATGTTGTTATGTAAAGACTGCTCTTGGAAAAAAATCAGACTCAAATAATATAAACACCCATAGCTACTTTTAGTAAGTCATTTTGGGCACTTCAAACGGTTATGTTAGACATACAAATACTTGTGATACGACTCGTGCCAACCGTTGGTGATTGTAAAGACATCGTTTCTGAGAGGTATCTTGAAACATTAGATTTCATTGCTAATATTTTCGTTACTACGGTTCATTTCGTCACGGTGTCGTTTATATTTCCGTTTCCTTGGATGAACATGACCGTGTGGAGTTACACCTATCGCCCCACTCCGGAACACATTGGAAAACAGAATTGGCAGCGATAATGGCGCACATAATTCTGTGACGTGGAGTGGGACCCATTAATGCGCGTGCATGTATTTGCGTTACATAATCTCTTATATTATCCTCTCCATCGGAAAGCCATCTATCGGAAGCAAGCCCGTGCAGTCAGTCAGCCGTCGGTGAACGGGTAGTGTCAGCGACAAACGTATGTATCGACCAGTATCTCTCCTTGTGAAGTCGAAAGTAGAATGGGACGGGACGTGGAGAGAACGGGGAGGAAACGGAGCGGAGAAACACGAGACTTGACGCTAGGTTTGTGTGGGGCGAATGACGACGTTTGACGTATTGCCTACTAACTACTGCTGACGCTGAGGCAGTTCGGCGGTTGTGTCCTTGTCTTTCTTCCACGCAACAGACTTGGTTGTCCCTGCATTGTCTGTCTACAGTATTCTTGACAACACATCACATAATTTTTACGGAAGAAAAAGCCCGGCGTGTGACAAGCCCAGAGAATTCGATAAAAGTGTCAACACAATTGTTTAACTCCTTATTGAACAGTTGAACATTTCGCCACTCTTTTTAAACAGGTATTCTTAACTTTTTTTTCAGGACTAAATTGAAACAGCTACACGGACTACTGGAGAAGGCAAAATGTGACGTAGGGTGGATACATTAACAGTCGGATACGTTTAAAACACAAAGTACTAACTGTGAAAAGAAAATTAAATCAAAGACAAGCACAGGCGTCATGGATTGGCATGCTGAAATTGCCCAATCACTCAAATACACATAAACAAAGCGAACCAGAGAGAGAAAGAGAAAGAAAGTCAGAAAGAAAGAGAGAGAAAGACACACACACACACACACACACACACACA